GACAAATGGCTGCCTAGTCTCTTCTTAAAAACTTTCAGTCTGGGAGCATTCACAACTTCTTGAGGCAAGTTGTTCCATTGATTAATTGTTCTAACTTTCAGGAAATTTCTCCTTAGTTCTAGGTTGCTTCTCTCCTTGGTTAGTTTCCATCCATTGCTTCTTGTCCTCCCTTCAGGCGCTTTGGAGAATAGCTTGACTCCCTCTTCTTTGGGGCAACCCTTGAGATATTGGAAGACTGCTATCATGTCAGTCCTTCTTTTCATTAAACTAGACACACACAATTCCAGCAAATGTTCTTTATATGTTTGAGCCTCCAGTGCCCCAATAATCTTTGTTGCTCTTCTCTGCACTTCAGCTTCACCTACTAAATTCTTAACTAAGGAATGCTCAGGAACAAGTCTGTATGTGTGCAAATATAACGGCCATGGGGAATCAACTCATCTGGCCTGATCTTCCAGGGAACTGATTTCTAATTCTAAGCTAGCTAGTATGATGCATGCGAAATACAGAGTGTAAACCTCAGAGTAGGTTTGCTGGTGTTAAAGGGGTGCTGACGATCATGGAATGGATGCTTTGATTGGTGGAAGACTGACAAGATTGTGCCCTTGAAAATCATAGACTGGGAACCATTGCTTGAGAGAATGCATTGGTTGGGAAGGAATGGTAGCAATGCACAGTTGTACACAGTGAGTTCTAGATAACTGATGGTTCTAATTTAGATGTTTTTTTTTTTAATTGCTGTGAGCCTAAAGGGGAGATTTCTATGTGCCTTTAAGTTAATTTTTAACTCCTGATGCCTGGACATGTCTCTGCATGATTTCTTGGCAAGATTTCAGAAGTGGTTTGCCACTAATTCCTTCCCAGGGCTAAGAAAGAGGTACAAGGTCACACCCAGCTGGCTTTGTATCCAAGGTGGGACTAGAACCCCCGGCTCCTAGTTTCTAGCCTGATGCCTTAACCATTACACAAACTGGCTCTCGAAATGCATTGTAGAATGACTTAAACATCCTTGGATAGATCATTACTTCTTAAAACATTGGACTTTAATGCAAGTTGAAGTCATAGAAAATGATCAACCAAACTGGGCCTCCAAGTTATCACAGTAGAACCTTAAAAAAAGCAAACATTTTTTTTTTAAAATGGCAAAATCAGATTTTATTGATTTCTATACTTCCCATTTCACCTAAATGATTTTGGGCATTTTACAAAAATTATGTGTTTCTAGTCCTTGTAACATTAAAGTTGGAAGACAGAAATGTGGCAGATATATCAGAGATCTGGCTTTTTGCACTTTGCATGTCTTTTGCAGCTGTAGATTCATGTTAGCAATTTGGCTGTCATTAAAACCTTCCATCTCTCTCTCTCTCTCTCTCTCTCTCTCTCTCTCTCTCTCTCTCTCTCTCTCTCTCTCTCTCTCTCTCTCTCTCTCTCTGTGTGTGTGTGTGTGTGTGTGTGTTTAGTGCAATTGTTTGCATGAATTAGTCTCATTTGGAATTTGTTTGATATTGAACCCTCTGATTAATGGAATGATTCTAAGAGCCACCTAGGGACCATCTGGCAAGATGTAATTTCATTTGCCAATTTTCTCCTGTCTAAAAATTAGCCATTGCTTCTGCTGTGGCAAAGAGTGGATTTGCTGACTTGGAAAAGACCCCTCAGTTTGAGTCTCCCACTTTCTATAATTATAACCTCAGAAGCTGAGTTAATATCGCAAAAACAAGTTCTGATTTGAACACACAACTCATGTCATGTCTAGCTTACACTTGTTCCAGAGGCTAGTCTAGGTATGCTATTGTTAGGTTTTTTTTTTAAATAGTCTTTTTTGGAAAGTTGGTTAAATCTCAGTGAATCTGTAACAACTGGATGGCAATATGGGGACCGTTCCAAATCTCTTTGGAACAGGCAGTCAAAAAGCACCGCTCTTTAATCAAATGCTGTTGTCCGTTCTTCCATTCTTTTCCAAAAGCTGGTTTTGCAGAACAAAGCACATTTTGGGGGGGGGGGGATTGTCAGTCTTGCGAGGTAGTCCAGACCAAAAGCAGACCCAGAAGTACTAATTCTGTCTTTATTGTAAGATTACATCAGTATTTCTCAACCTTGGCAACTTGAAAAAGCATGGCTGGCTGTGGAATTCTGGGACTTGGAAGTCCACACTTTTTCAAGTTGCCAAAATTGAGAACTACTGGTTTCATTAACAACATCTTGCAAGTCTAAAGTATCTCTCCCCCCCCCCATCACCTTTACAAACCAAGATACTAGGGAGGGTCCCTCCTGAGACATTTCCCCCGCCCTCATTCCTTCTGCAGGCTCAGATGCCCCTTATCTTCCTCTTGTCTCCCAAAGTCCTTCTCATTTGCCATTAAGGGGATTGGCCAACTGGAGTTCCTATCACCTTTGCCAAAGAAAAGATCACTTCTAATGCTCTCGATAGCTGAACTATAAAACAGAACTGCAAAGAAGTTCTTTGCTTTCCTGAGCGATCAGGAGGATATTAGTGCAGCTATGCAAATTAGACCCAAGAGTAGGAGAAAGCTCCGAACAGAGACAGATTTACTGCTCCAAGTTCATTGCTGCAAATTCTGAAGTTGGCTCTTAGTGTGATTGGTGGGAAAATCAAGTTGTCTTTGGCATGTTGGACTACCCACCAGGCATGGCGAGGTCAGTCTTGGCTTTCCAGAAAATTAAACATGCATCAAGGAGCTAAATGCTGATAGATGATTTGCTTTGGATGGGTCTCCCACATCCAGTCGGAATTAAGCCATGTGCAACTGGTGGATGGGTGGATGTCAGCATCAGGGCTTAAATCCTAATCCTCTTCTCCCACTTTTTACACAGTAGACTTTTAGCTGTTCTTTTCTTGGCCTTGGAAGTCAGAGAAGCCTGTTCCATGTTTAGATAATATTCTGTCTGGCCTGTGAATTGTGGCTTTGCTAATGTCAGCCTTTACAGCACACCTTGTATTTTATAAAGCAATCTGACAGCCACAATCAGGAGAAGTCATATTTATGTCAGTGCCCTGAAGAACATTCTTCCTCCCTATCTAGGTGTAAGAGAAAATCAGGTGGTGTTTTTCTGTCAGCACCACTGTATGAAGACAGTGACGTGTGAGCCAGGAGGAGCCAGAACTCACTCAATAGGCTTTGGAATAGTATTGTTTTGGGGGTGAGCAAGATGGTCTACTTGGGTGTACCAGGTACCTTGATCACCAGGAGGCAGCTAGGTGACCTGTTTCATTCTGATTAGTGGCCAGAAAGAGTTTGCAACTTCGCAGGATCATGTGACCGACCAGTCTCTTATCACTGGATGCATTTTAATTTGCTAATTATGCAAATTGAATAAGTTGCACTTTGTTGTTGTTGTTCGTTGCAAAGTCGTGTCTGACCCATCGCGACCCCATGGACAATGTTCCTCCAGGCCTTTCTGTCCTCTACCATCTTCTGGAGTCCATTTAAGCTCACGCCTGCTGCTTCAGTGACTCCATCCAGCCACCTCCTTCTCTGTCATCCCGTTCTTCTATTCTTTACCTTACCTCAAACTGCAACATAGGGATGATAATGATGATTGACATCAATTGCATTTTTATGGCAAAGTTCAGTTCGCTTTACAATGTCAGGAAGTTCTTTTTTGAAACATCTCTTGTAAATGGATTGTAATGTACAACCCATATCACCTGGCTTCTGGATTAATGACTTTCTGGGCTTAAAATGACAACTGGCTTCTCTTGTCTCTCTGTCATCATCACTCCTTATATGCTTTAGCCTCCAGTCCCCTGATCATCTTTGTTGCTCTTCTCTGCACTCTTTCTAGAGTCTCAGCGTCTTTTTTACATCGTGGTGACCAAAACTGGATGCAGTATTCCAAGTGTTCTTTATTCTAAATGACTTATACACCTATTGTATTTATATTTCACTGGAGTGGGCGTCTATCCAAACAAAACCGTAAATCACAAACAAAAAACAACTGCATACAAGTATTTCATCACATGAGGAGCAAAAACATTAAAAAAAAGGTTATACGGAAGCCTGCAGAGACCATTAGTGCTAGTCTCTGGGTTTGGGAAGCCCAGGGGTGAGATGTTTCTATGGGTCCTGCTCCCAAGGGCAGCCATTCCCCCAGCGTGCTACTGTTTCTGTCACAGTATTTGCTTTTCTCTCCTTCTGGGTCTAATCTGCTCAGCCTCCCAGAGGTAAGAATATGTGGTAGTGACTACTCATCCTTGCTTCATTGTTGGCTTGCAGACAGAAGGCAGAAGACTTCTGGAGTTGTGTCTTACTGGGACACAGGCTGTGCAGAAACCCAATAACACTATCTGCGCATGCTAACCGTAAAACAGACATAACCGCCCTCTTCAGATTCAATCTCTGATTTCCAAAGAGAGACGAAGGGGGGGGGGGAGGGAAGAGCCAAATCAGCATTTCTGCTTCACTCAAAAGGACTTACTTTCACTTGAGAACGCAGAAAACTGGGACCTTTTGCATCCATCCAAAAGCTAGATCAGGGGTAGGCAACCTTGGCTCTTTTGACTCGTGGACTTCAACTCCCAGAATTCCTCAGCCAGCCATGCTGAGGGGAAATTGAAAGGTTTCCAAGCTGAGCCAGGCTGGGTGAGGAATTCTGGGAGTTGAAATCCTCGAGTCATGAAGGGGCCATAGTTCCCCCGTGCTGGCTTAGGAATTCTGGGAGTTGAAGTCCACCAGTCATGAAGGGGCCATAGTTCCCCCATGCTGGCTGAGGAATTCTGGGAGTTGAAGTCCACGAGTCATGAAGGGGCCATAGTTCCCCCGTGCTGGCTCAGGAATTCTGGGAGTTGAAGTCCACGAGTCATAAAACAGCCATGATTGTCTTTCCCTGGGCCAGAGGTAGACAGGAAAGAAACTAACCAGTATCAGCTTGGCTCTCACTGAATGTATTGTAGGACAAGTCCTATCCTTTCCTGGCTGTGAGATGATGCCTCTGGACTGCCTCACCCTCTATTCATGTCGTTTCTCCCCCCCCCCCAGATGGTGGCTTAAAGAAACTTCGAAGTAACATTCGTCGCAGCACTGAGACTGGGATTGCTGTGGAGATGAGAAACAGGGTCACCCGTCAAGGCAGTCGGGAGTCAACCGATGGAAGTACTAACAGCAACAGCTCCGATGGCACGTAAGTCCTCCTGTTGGTTAACAAAGTTGCTGAATAAAGAGTAGACATTGCACCGAGAATATAAAAACAAGTGCTATATTTTTTAAGGAAAATGTCCTGATAATATTAACTCATAGATAGGACCCCCCCCCCCAAAAAAAAACCCAGGATGCATGAAAATGTCTTTGATTCAGTTGGGTTATTGACTCAAGTCTCATGTAAAGGCAAAAAGATGCCCTGGGACAAAATGTAGGAGGAGAAGGATTTTCAAGCTGTGTCTTCTTTTTCTCACACACTGTCTTTCTCACCCTTTCCTTCAGATTTATTTTCCCCACAACCAAGCTGGGAGTTGAAAGCCAGTTCAGTGACTTCCTAGATGGTCTTGGACCAGCCCAAATTGTAGGGCGACAAACACTCGCTACTCCACCAATGGGTGAGTGAACCTTTGGTGACCCTCTCAGCCCTTTAGGTTCAGGGTTACTTGATGGAGGAGGATCTCATGTGGATCTTTCTTAATTAACCATCTCCCTGGATTCATGTTTTGTGAGGGACTGTGTAGTGTTTATATATTGAGCCATAATTCCTGTAATGTAGAAATCATGCTTTATGGCTGAGTGTTTTTTTGAACCTATCTAATTGTGATTTAACAAAATCTTCAGTGTAAGCATGATTCCTGATGTCATCTGGCTGGGGAATTCTGGAAGTTGGAAGTCCATACATCTTCACCTCTGTCAAAGTTGAGAAACGCTGGTTCATACTATACACTTTTGTAGCAAATCCCCAAGTATTGCATGAAATTCGTGACCATAAAGGCTATTGTAAGTCCTAATAGAATCTGTCTAACAATAAGTCCTTGAAAATCTTCCTACCTAATTGAATAAATTTGACGTGAGTCAGGTTTGGCCATCTACAAATTTCAGAAGGTCAGCGGGACTCAGGTTGTTAAAATTGCTTCAGGATATACACAATATTCTACCAGGAGGACTCTTTTTGATTCGTCCTTCTTTTATCCTTAAGATGTAAACAGATCAAGGTCAATTGCAATCAATGCCTTGGTAAGGCCACACTTGGAATACCGCATCCAGTTTTGGTCACCACGATGTAAAAAAGATGTTGAGACTCTAGAAAGAGTACAGAGAAGAGCAACAAAGATGATTAGGGGACTGGAGGCTAAAAAATATAAGGAACGGTTGCGAGAATTGGGTATGTCTAGTTTAACGAAGAGAAGGACAAGGGGGGACATGATAGCAGTATTCCAATATCTCAGGGGCTGCCCTAAAGAAGAGGGAATTAAGCTATTTTCCAAAGCACCTGAAGGCAGGACAAGAAGCAATGTGTGGAAACTAATCAAGGAGAGAAGCAACCTAGAACTAAGGAGAAACTTCCTTACAGTGAGAACAATTAATCAGTGGAACAGCCTGCCTCCAGAAGCAGTAAATGCTCCAACACTGGAAGTTTTTAAGAAGAGACTGGACAGCCATTTGTCTGAAATGGTGTAGGGTTTCCTGCCCGAGCAGGGGGTTGGACTAGATGACCTCCAAGGTCCCTTCCAACTTTACTACTATTATTATTATTATTATAATTTTTCATGTTGATTTAAGGAGAGTAATTCATTTTGGTTAGAGCTTATGGATAAAGAATATGTGATTCCCCAAGTGCTACTGAATTTATTTATTTATTTCTATTTATGTGTTAAATTTATAGGCTTTCTATAACCATTGGCCATGTTCCTTCGATTTCTTGGAAAGTACGATTTAGCAATATTTGGAGAACCATAACATCTCCATCACATTTCCTTGGGTTCCATTACTTAAAAAAGTCTTCTAAATATAGATCTACCACAAAACATTGAGATGAGTAAGACACCACAATCACACATGGAAATGGGGGAAGATGTTGGCGTGAAGGGCAAAAAGCTATTCTTTATTATATCAAAAAAATCCAATTGAATTTTGAAAGAAGGCCTTTTTTCTCATGGGAATACTTGTAATCAAGCAGCTTGTTAAAGATGGATGCACACAAACTGTTTGGGACTTCTAAAAAAATAAATGATACTTCCCCCCCCCCCACACACTGTTTTCTTCTTTGTTTTGCACAATCACATGTGGACAGCACAAAGCTCTGGAGTTGTGTCCATGCTGACTTTACTGCTGTTTTCCTAGGTGATGTCCATGTTGGGATGATTGACCGGAATGGACAGCTAGAGGTAGAAGTGATAGAAGCCCGAGGCCTCATACCCAAACTAGGATCCAAGTCTTTTCCTGGTAAGTAATTGCTTTGGAATAGGACTGAGTAGAGATAAAGTGAAAAGCTGGCTGGGACAATTCTTGGTATATACAGGAAGTTGTTTGTATACTTTATGTCTGTTCTTTAAAATATCTCTTCTTCTTCTTCTTCTTCTTCTTCTTCTTCTTCTTCTTCTTCTTCTTCTTCTTCTTCTTCTTCTTCTTCTTCTTCTTCTTCTTCTTCTTCTTTTTCTTCTTCTTCTTCTTCTTCTTCTTCTTCTTCTTCTTCTTCTTCTTCTTCTTCTTCTTCTTCTTCTTCTTCTCCTTCTCCTTCTTCCTTCTTCTTCTATATCCCTTATCGGACGTTGGCGATCATATTGGCGATCCTGTTTTTATCAGCAGCCGCACGAAAAAGTGCTGCTGAGTTTTGTCCAAACCAGTCCCTTAGATTTTGAAGCCACGATGTTCTTCTTCTGCCTGGACCTCATTTGTCTTCAATCTTTCCCTGGAGGATTAAATGGAGTATGCCGTATTTTTCTGGGTGTCACATCACATGTCCGAAATATTCTAATTTTTATTTTTTAATTGTTTTGATGATTTCCCTTGGCTTTCCCAGGCGGCTTATCACCTCCTCATTTCTGATCTCGTCAACCCAGCTTCTACATAGCAGCTGCCTATAAAATACCGCAGCTGCCTATAAAACCCCCACAGCAGGGGGTTGGACTAGATGACCTCCAAGGTCCCTTCCAACTTTATCATCATCATCATCATCATCATCATCATCATCATCATCATTATCCCAGCCTGGGGCAGAATAGCCATGATTAAGCTCCCTGTTTCTATTCCCTTCTCTCTGCCAATACAGCCACCTACGTTAAAGTGTATCTGCTGGAAAATGGGGCTTGCCTGGCCAAGAAGAAAACCAAGACGGTCAAGAAGAACTATGACCCGTTGTACCAGCAGGCGCTTCTGTTTGACGAAGGCCCTCAGGGTAAAATGCTACAGGTGAATGCTTTCCTCCTCTTTGAAGGGTAAGAGGATCCTCCTTCTGCCCATATGCATTTTACAGCCGTAATTCAGCCACAGGCCTACTGAGATGCCCTCACAGCATTGTCCCCTGGTGTCCCCATGGGAGATAGCTTAGACAGGCAACCTATATGGGTCCAGTAGAAGTTCTAGTCAAGTTTCCCTGGGGCCTTTATGGGAAGGTGATTCTGGTAGCTATTAAGTAGACAATCGGTACGGTTACTGTAGAACAGACATGTCAAACACAAGGCCCGGGGGCCGGATGCGGCCCGCAAAGTGGTTTCATGTGGCCCGCGAAGCCATCCTGGAAACAGTGAGGGAACGGCCCCCTCTGCCTTGGCCCAGGCCCAGGCCAGCCGGGAGCCAATGTACAATTTTGTGGTGGCCATCTATGCTGAAACACATTCAGTTTTAGCTCCACAAGGCTGTCTGGAAACAGCGAAGAACCAGGAGAACCTTCAGCAGCAGCCTTGAGGAAAAGGGGCTGGGCTTGGTGCCACAGGTGCTCAAGGACCAGGCTGGGCATTTGACCTCTACTGCCCAGGGCTCTGGGCAGTCCGCACCACCATCCAGCCCCCCCCCGCATGGCCTGAGAGGAACAGTGAGGCTCTTCCAGTGGACCATGCCTTGGCACTTGCTCCGGTCCCACGCCCTTCTGCCAGAGATCCTCAGATCTGTCCCATTCCTGCCCAGGCCCCCACAGGCACCCTTGACGCGAACGATGTAGAGCTGGCCACACCCACTCAGTAGGCCACACCCACTCTATCCATGCCCACCCAGTAGGCCACACCCACCCTGGCCACACCCGCCCGGCCCCCTGAGGGCAACCACAATGCTGATGCGGCCCTCAATGAAATTGAGTTTGTCATAGAGATTTCTGTTGGGTTGTCCTCTGAAAAGGTCTCTGGTGTCCTCATCAGAATTAAGATGTTTCAGCTGGGGAACTTGTAGAATCCCCCCAAAAGATTCTGAAGGCCCCAGAAGGGAAGTTGGATGCTATGAAGATACTTGAAGAAGAGGGTTATCATGAATTGCCTCAACTATTGACTTTAAGATCTAGGGGTTTTTTTGTGTTGGAAGTCCCAATTTAGATAAAAATGGAGATGTTTGGCTTCAGGAATATGCTGAGTTCAAAGTTCAAGTCAAGAACAAATGGCCTTTCAGATATTGCTAAGGAAATCTTCCAGAAATCAAGATTGTTCAGTGCTAAACCCGGAGAAACACAGATTTCACATTCCTGAAGGAGGAAATAGTAATTCGATAGAGAATCAGGAAAATGTTTTCCTGAGATCTTAATTGAGATCTTGGTGTAAGCAAGATTTTTATTTTGAGCAATGGGATTTCATCGGGTTGGCCGTATGGCACCCAGAGTCACTTTATGTGAGATGAATGACCGTGCAAATTTGATTATTAAATAAAGTCAATAAATAAAAGGTAACTTTCTATAAATGATGAGCTAAAATTATTGACTCATTTTTAGTTGAAAGAGCAATTTATGATATACTTACTTTCCATCTCCTCCTTTTTAGGATCTTTATTGCTCAGGTAGGGAACGCCAAGAATTACAGATCTGATTCTAGATTTCAGAAAGGGTAGAATCCTGACACCTTTTGTTGTTGGATGGTTGTAAGATATTAAAAGGGTACCAGGACCAGGGTGCTTCTTGATTTACCGATTGAAATGATCCTTCTTCTGGTTTTGCACACTGACAAAAAACCGATACTAGGGGGGAAAATGTTATTAACTAATTGAACCTGGTCATGTTATGTGGATGCATTCGCTAAATCTTTAAATGAATGGAAGAAGCATGTTCGGCTATTTTCAAACCATTGGGTACTTTTAAATAGCCCCTAGCTAGCACTACCCGTCAAAAGATATTTTAATATCTCCTAATTGTGTATAAATTGGGATCCACATCAGCTAAGCAAGAGCACATATTTTCCCATTTCCAGGATAGTAAATGATTACAGAATGCAAAACTCATTTTTTAAAGGCTGCAAGGTTTATGCTAAATGCATTTAAAGGAATATCTTTGAGAGGCAAAACAGACCCGCTCCTACTTTACCTAAGAGTAACTTCTGGAACTCAAGGAAAGGTTAGTTTAGAGCAGGGGTTCTCAACCTGTGGGTCGGGACCCCATTTGGGGTCGAACGACCATTTCACGGGGGTTGCCAAACAACGCAGTCCGCCATTTTTCCCCCCCTTTTCCTTAACTGTGCTCCTCCCTTTTATTCTATTGGGTTTTGAAAGCCAATAGAATAGACTCTCTTGAACAGAGTCTAATTCTATTGGCTTTCAAAAGCCAATAGGAATTGTCCAGGCTGTCTCTGCCCTGCTGAGCCCGCCAAAAGTCCCATTCTGCAAACGGTGCTGCACCAGTTGAGTAGCCCTCGACTTACGACCGGTTGAGTAGCCCTCGACTTACGACCAGTTGGGGGTTGCGGCATTAAAAAGATTGAGAACCACTGGTTTAGAGTCAACATAGGTAGGACTATGCTGTTAATGATTTATGGTAATAGTATGAAGAACCAGGGTGTTAGCCAAAAAATAGAAACAACCCCAAGGATTAGTTAGTTATGGGATGTTGGTAAAGGCCTTCTGCTTTCCACCTGACTCTGTAGGTCTTCTAGTCTTCTAATTCTCCTGTCTCGGATTCTCGTGGCAATTCAGCTCTTCCTCCTTTTCCCCTTTAGGTGATTGTCTGGGGAGACTATGGCCGCATGGACCACAAGTGCTTCATGGGGATGGCTCAGATTGTCCTAGATGAGCTGGACCTGTCCAGTGTAGTGACAGGTTGGTATAAGCTCTTTCCCACTTCCTCGTTGGCAGACTCCACCATCGGACCCCTTACTCGTCGCCTTTCTCAGTCTTCACTAGAGAGTTCAATAAGCCCTTCTTGTCCTTAAAGAAGACAACACAACAACAACAACAGAGAATGCCTTGTTCTACCACGGCTTCTGGAAGTATGGTTTGTAAATATTCCATGTCTTTTCCTCCCATCACCCTTTCTCCTCCTCCGCCTCTTCTTTCAAGGAAATTGTTCCAGTGACTTTAGACGTGTCTGATCCTCCCTCTCTGGGGTGGACAACGTAGGAGAAATCCAAAAGGGTGATGGGGGAGGAATTGAAAGGGAAAGAAAAGAAACACGTATTAAGGAGAGGAAGAAAAAAACACCCCGATTAACAAATTGCCAGTTTCAAGACTGTTCCATCACCCCAAAGAAAATGGCCTGTGAAAAAGAGTAAATCGTTTCTCATGCTGGAAACATCTTAGGCAGGATCTCAACCGTTAAACCCACTTCAAAATAGCATGTTAGGTTTTCTTTCTCCTCTCAGCCCTGTTTTCTTTTGGCATCTCTGGAGGATAAGCTTTGATTTCTCCTAGTGTTTCTTTAGACGAAACAAAAAAGGGGAAAAAAATGGAATGCGGCACTTAACGTCTTTTTTTTTTAAAGGAATGTAGCATTTTCAGACATTATGTAGCTTGCCACGTGCTTATGGATTCCTCTGCAATATTTGTACAGTACGGTCACCTTCCCACCTGGCAGGAGCTGTCAGCATTTCACTTCCTGCTTAAATCCTGGGTTTGGAATCCTGGAGAAAGCAATTTCGTTTGCATTGTGCGTACCTGGAGAAGGATAGGAGGATCTGCCAAAGGTGCGGAAGAAGAGAGATCTCCAAAGGGTGCATCTGACTGTTAAGTTCAAAGAATACTAAGACTCATGATTTTGCTTTGTCATGCTTAGAGAAATTTAATTGTGTCTCCTCCTTTAGAGACTCCTGTTTTAGATGCTGGATCTTTGATGCTATTTTAGCAAGGCATATGCAAAGAACACTCTTATTGAAATGGGCCCTTTGTTCAGTTTGTCCTCATTGTGTCTGGAACAATTTGCAGCCTGAAAGGCAAGATACCAAACCAACCAATTTTCAAACAGAAGGTAAAATATAACGAGAAGAAATTTACTGGGCAAACATGGAAGCTCTTCAAAGTTTCATAGGAGAGCCTATGAATTTATCAGAAGGATGAGTATGGAGTCTCTCCATTTATTAACTGTTTCAGTTTAATCCAATCTGGCTGCTATCCAAAACCAACTAATTTGTTTAAAAAAAAATGGAACATTTGATGGAATTTGCTTCTGTGTAAACCCGCATGGGCTGGATTGTTAGTTGTACGAATATGTGTTTTATGTAGCAATCTGGTCTCTCAGTGACGGCCAGTTCCCGTAGCAAAATTGAGAATTACAGAAGCTTTTCATGAAGGTGCCTACTAAAATTTGTTGCAAATACTCAGGGGAGATACTACTGAAAATCACAATTTCTTTATTGTTCCTGTTACTATTATTTTTTAAAAAATTTCCCATAGACTATAGGAGCAGTAAAAGCTGGCGGATTGAGTGTTGACATGACAGCAGCCTGAAAGCTACTGGTTAGTTTCTGGATACTAGACAGCCTTGGAAATAGCTCTTAAATTGGAATGCTCATTTTAGCTATCCACACTTGATTTTAATGGAGGGCCAAGAAACTGTTTTACTTCTTAGGTGTTTTATAATATAAGTAAAGTAAACATGGATTCTTCTGTAACTTCAGTTAGGATGAAACACAAGGGAAGTTCTCAAGAAGAAAATTAAGGGGAAACAAAACCGATAGCACTTAATTTCTCCCTTACAAGGACAAGTTTCCAGCGGATGTTTTGATGGGATCCCATCACACCCTTCAAAAAAGCACGTGTAAATATATTAGTAACGTATTTCAGTAACATTAACCTGCACCAATTTTTGAATATGGAATTTCTGGAGCCACCAATTTGGCCCCACAATTTCACCAGACCAAACCATCTACAGCACAGGTGTCAAATTCGATGGCGTCACGTGATGTATTGTGACGTTTTTGCCTTTGTGGAGCTGGGGTAGATGTGGCCTGCGCATGATGCATCTGGCCCGCGGGCCACTAGTTTGACACTGACCTGATCTACAGATTCCAAAGCAGGGAGTTGATGAAATTTTCTTGGCTTTGTTCTCCTTGAATGCCCTGTCGTTCTGTTGCTTCCTACATGTATGGACTGTTGTGACATTTTCCAGAATAAGCAATATATTGGTTTTGAGTCTACACTGGAGACACTCTGTCTTGTTCATTTTAGAAAGCCTTTTTTGACAAAAAGACAAAAATGTGTCATCTGGCATTCACCTCTAGACCAACAAAATGTTGCCTGGTTTTACTGCATCCTGAATCGAAGTTGGAATAAATGCAATTTACAAAGGATGTTTTAAAAAACTGCAGAGCAGGACTAACTCAAAGTTTGCCTCTAAGGACAAAATGTGGCCAATCGCTCGGTTGTCTGTTTTGCAGAAAACCGAGATCTGCTTCCAAGTAGAAAAATATGGATCACGAAAGCCTTGTGATAGTTAGTCTTGTGGAGTCAGCACAATTTGCCCCCTAAAACACGATTTTGAGTGAATCGCCGAACTGTGCCTCAAATTATGACTCTGAGATTTGAGGAGCCACGGTGACAGTTCTTCTAAAGGATATCACTTAGCACAACAATTATGTAAAATATAAGCAAGGAAGGCAGTAAAGATTTTGCGCAACCGGGGACGGGCTTCTCCTGAAGGGGCTCTTTTGAAAAAAATGGCAGAAAATGAATCAATGAAGTGCCTGCAGAAAGTACAACCGTCAGTAGAAGCTGGTCCAGATCCAAGAGGTTCTGCCGCAGAAAGAGCAGCTACTCTCACGAATCCTCTCTTCTGATTCCTAAACCGAGAAGAGTCCTTCAAAGACCAATTGCATTCTTGAGACTGAAGCTTTGCTTATCCAGGGATCCTTGCACATTTTCCTACATGGTTGGCGACTTTTGCCAATATAGATACCCTCTTCTCTAAGGCATAGAAGCATTGTTTGAACCAATCCCCAGTGCTCCAGATAGCTGCGCTACAGCCCCCAAGCTTGCCATGAACCCAGATTCTGGGGGTCTCTGAACTTTCCTACCTCGACCTTACACCACTCTGGATATCTGCTTGTATCATCTCTTTGGCTTGATCACCTGAACTTGTTTTTGTTTTTTTTCCAGTGTGTTGATTGCTGACCCTCAAAATGGTCTGTGCTTGTAAGATCTTGAATTGTGTTTCATCTTAGCTAAGCAGCTCCTTGACATATATTTTATTGCCAGATTCAAGCCATGGTCTACACTGAGCAGTGCCCCGGCTTGCTTAGCAAGTAACACTAGTTATAGGAATACAATGGCGTCTTTTGGTGGCGGATAGGCAAAGGACGCCTTATTTATCCATGGATGAGACACTACCACATCTGGAGACATCTCACCTAGTTTAGCAATGGCACCGTCAGTCTGAAAGAATGGAACAAGGTAGCAGATAAATAGAAATCAAATTAATTCTGTTCCCAGGTAGTGAAATTAAGGTACTAGGGATTTCTAAACAGCTTCCAGTATTTTTATAACAGTTCAGACAAGAGTGATATGATGTGATCCTAAGGATAGCATGCATGATATTGCAGTCAGGCAGATATGGAAACCAAAGTTGGAACCGCTAAGACATTTCACATGTTTTTCTAAATTCAGCAGTGAAGGAAAGAGGTACAAAAAGGTATGTCCCAACGTAAGAACTACAAATCTAGATACAATATGTAATTAGTCCATTTCCACCTCAATAGAAAGTTTTGGGTTTGTTGGGCAGCCCGTAATCATTTTGATAGAAGTCTTTACTTTGTTTTAAACAAAGTATTCTCACAGTCAGAAGCTTATGTTAAGAGAGATGATGAGGTTTCAGATAGAGTTTTATGTCTAAAAACTGCTCCCAAATACTAAAATGCATTTCATGGGAATAAAAAAAAAAAGCAACTAATTCCAGGCCATTAAAGGAGCTTTAGGTTTTTATTTCATAAGCATCAATCCTCTCTTTTGTGCCAGAGCTGATGGTATCTCCCACTCTGAGGATTTGATGTGAGCAAAAGTCCCAGGAAGGAATCCCAAATGCCTTTGAACGTGCTAAGAAAGAGTTCTCTAGATCTTGGTTTTTTTATTTGGGCTGTGACCTCCATTTTTTAAAAATGATTTCTCTGCACAAAATAAAACAAAAATTCCCAATGGCAAAATGTAAAAAAATTCCTGTTGAAATGTTAGCTATTTTTGTTTCAAAAATGGGGGGGGGGAAATAGTTATACCCTAAAACCATTACATTGGCTTCAAATTGGGTAGATCCAGAGAACATTTATCTCACGATCTGCATTTTGAAGTGGACCACTGGCATTGCCATATTTCCAGATGATGCTGTTTTTCGCTCTCTAACATTGTTTCCTTGTCTGCTGTTTCCGACAGGAACCACTGAAATGTATTTTATTTATCTGGCATATTTATATCCCGTTTTTTCTTCCCGCATGGAATTCAAAGTGGCATATATAAGTTTGCCAAGCCTCCCACAAACCTTTCATTTTATCAGAGAGGCTGTTTTATACACATTATTGTAAAGAAAGGGCAGGGAAGTTTAGAAAACAGCCCCCGTTGCAGTTAAAGGTTTGCCTCTGAGCATAATTTGCCAGAATGATGGAATGGATGGGACTTGATCCAAATGAACAAGAACTCTGGTGAGTTGTCCTCTCTGAATTTTAATCCGCGCTAATTCAGTGCAGAATAAGAGTTAACAACCCGCAAGCTAAAATGGAGAAATGAGCTAAGCAACATTGGGATTGAGATAGAATTTGTCGAAAGACTAAAGAAACATGTAACAGGTCATCTTTACAGGAAAAAAAAAGAAAAGTGCCTCTGGATTTCTTCCAGTACAAAAGGCAATTTGATCGATTTTACAATGGAGATGCATGCTAGATTCAACACTGCCACCTGCTGCTCGGAGAGATCCTATGAACAACTTCAGTAAAGGCTAAACAGGAGCAGCCCACATCCTAAAGCCGCACCTCCCTCCAGGTAATCGGACTCTGCAGAAATCTTGACTCGTGCAACCCTAAGTAAAGAATGAAGAAATGGATCGTTTTTCTCCACAATCCATGAACGGAAAGTATACGAAGATGGGAACAATGGCTGGAATTGTTTTTACCAAACTATTTGTACTGGAATAGTAATGAAGGGTGCGAGACAAGCGAAGTGCAAATTGTTGATTGTATACCTCATGATTTTATAACTAGTATGTTGTGACTTGTTTTGTCTGTTAGTCTAGTTAGTAGCAGCAAGAGACAGCAAGGGACAGGGATGGTAGGGCTTTTATTAGCACATCTCTTTTCTTTTGGCCTTCTCCTTCAAGCGTGCAAAGGAATTACCTGGGAGAGCTTCTCCGGAATCAGGTATTTATTTTAATAATGCATATCTCACCTTAAAAAAAATAATCAAGAGTTGCTTTGCAAACTCAGAGCAGAAATAAAACAAAGTCATAGCTGGATCAGTGTTAAGACTATTAAGGATTCGGTCTGAAGCAGTGTTTCTCAACCTTGACAATTTTAAGGCATGTGGACTTCAACTCCCAGAATTCCACAGCCAGCAATGCTGGCTGTGGAATTCTGGGAGTTGAAGTCCACATGCCTTAAAATTGTCAAGGTTGAGAAACACTGGTCTGAAGAGAAGATAATAGATAATAGAACAGCTTATTGAATTCCAGCTGTTCAAACAATTAAGTTGGATCCATTTTTATGAGAATCTTTTCCACCCTGTGCATGGGAATTCTGGGAAATGTAGCTCAATACCACTGGGATCCTCCAGGATACAGGCAGTTCTGATTTATGACTTGATAGCCTTGAATATTTATTTTGCCCCAGCATTTCCCATAAAAATGTTTTTTCTTCAACCCAGAACTTAGCTGTTCCCTCAATATGAAAGCTCCTTTCAGGGTGTGTTTTTTTTTACATCATCAGTACGATGAATATAGAAAACAATCATGACTGGGTGATGCACCAGTCTGGCTGTTCTGATGCCTTCCTGCCCAAGTTACATTTCAAAGTGGAGAAGCTACAGCGCTTACACAACGCATGTGATTATTAACGTCGCCCTTGCACCAGGATTCAGGAAAAGCGTGCACAGTTGCAAAAGGTGTTTTGAGGTCTGCTGTTCTCAGGGGACACTATACTGTTGCACTCTTAAAGATATGGGGTTGAAATGAGAAATAGACGAGATGGTTGGAATGCAATAGAGCATGGGGTCCTGGGCTGAGCTTTTGAATCTCCCTTAACTGCAATCAGCCAGAGTTGGTGAAATCCATATTGGGACCACCACTGTAGGATCTGTTGCCTGTTCTGGAGCTTTTAAAGAAAAAAAAATAGTATATTTTTTAAAAAAACCTTTGGAGATGATGACTGAGAAAAGAGATGTGTGTGGAGATGGCGTTGATTTAACATCTCTAGTTAAGGCAGGGGTGGGGAGAGAGTAGGATGTTGTGTCTCATTGGACAACCTTGTCCCTATTTGAGGTTCTTGGGATGTGCTGGGAATCTGTCAATCATGCTGGTTGGGAATTCCAGTCCTAAGACACCAATCGGAGGAGTTAAGCTGGGGAAGATTAGCTTAACCATCCCACTTGCTGCTGGAATGAAGGATCTGTTCTTTGTATTTGTAGTAACGATGTTAAAGCAATGCTCTTCTGATGCCAGAGTACTTTTCAGTCGGAGTGTGGGTGCAATAGGCTGTCTTGAGTTGGACTGTTTGGCTCATTGGATAGCAAACCCCTCTGGATTGTAGCACTTTTGATGTTGGTGGCCTTGTTGGTGTTTTCCTTTTAAAATATAAGGGCTTATATGTTTTCATGTTAACAATGGATAACTTTCTTCTCCCCGCCAATTAGTTCTTCCAACGCCCTCCTTTCCCCCCAAAAAGAATGTTGAACAAAGCAGCTTATTGTTCACTGTGACATTGTGAATTTATTCCCCAGAGACAGTCACTAGAAACTGAAGGCAATGCTACCTCTAAATTTTCTTTGGCCTGGAGCCATTCTGGAACTGAACTCTTAGTAGGGGCTGAAGATGTATTTGTATTTATTTATAGGGATAATTTATATCTAGCCTTTCTCCTAAAAACATGGTTTACAAGGCAGCAAGCAAGAGCTTTGTAGAATAAAATGAAAAGACTGATATGCAGTGGGAGTAATGTAAACTTGACCTAGAAGCTTAGGTTCATTGTCCTGTTTTAAAAAGGTCTACCGACAGGAGGAATCAAACACTTCAGCTATGATGGGGAGGTCTTCTTTTACATATTGAAAATACATCTTTATAGCAGCCTTTCAGAGCAGAGGGCCCCAAACGATACAGAATATGGGTCAGACCGTACGATAGTTTTTAAAATATCGTATTTTAAATGACGCAACATCAACAAATGGAGAGGCTTGGAAAAAACAACTGGATCCATAGAGCTCCTTGAAACCATAGCATGAGTAGGTTCTAAAAAGATTGTGAAAAGGAAACCAAAGTAGAGTGGCAAGATTTAAATAGGTATGATTTATTTAAATGAGTCTTTGTTAGGAAGACTTAAAATCTGGGTGGCCATCTCAGAGGTGCTTTTCCAAAATGTTTTGCTTCCCATTCAAGAAGTTTCTTTGCTTCTAACTAGCTTCTTGGATGAGAAGCGAAACATTTTCAAAAAAAAAAAAAAAATCAACAAAGCCCAGTTGCTTTTTGGAAAAGCACCCTTGGAACAACCATGACCTGGATGATTGAGAATCTCCACATCTGGGTGGTCTGTCATTAAAAAAGATTTCCTCACAGCAAAGACCCATTCATTATGGCATCTTGGGTTAAAACCAGCATCCTGAGCTTGAGAAAGTGACAGGCAAAATAGATGGCTCCATTTTAGATTCTTGAAGTTGAAGTAGCTTTAGCTGCTAAGTTATCTTCAAGGCTTGTTCTAGTAATGGGGATGGGTGGGGGCCTAAACAGGCCATCCACCTGGCCCAATTTTATTTAGAAGCAAATTCTAACTAAACTAATATTCCCTATGTTCCTTCTGTGAACAGAGTAATCAGGGATCTTGTCATGCAGAAGAATATCAACAGAAGAAACTATTTGTAGCTCAGGACTGAACTGTGAAGTCCTTGGTAGTCTCTTAATTTGTTTTCTTGCAGATGTTTAATTATCCAACTAGGTAACATCTTCAGTGTTGTTCACTGAAGATGCTATTTAGTAGGGTAATGGAATGTCTACAAAAAACAACCAAATTCAGGGATCACCAAGGGCTCCATAGAAGAATGTGGCAAGGGATGGAGTGATCCTAGAATAGGAGTCATTGCAAAACAGTAATTAGATATTATAGTAATCTTGATCAAAGCATAACTAAGTTTCTAAACTGGGGTTTAGAAGGAGTAAATCAAGGTTGTCCAAGCCAACCAACTTGCGTCTCAAGATTATAGTATAGCCTTGGCCTTAAGTAGCAGATTTTCTGAGAAAAATATGAATGGGGATCAGAATAAGAATTTCAAAACTTCCAGTCACATTGAGCACAAGGGGTTGTCTTGCAATGGGCAGCGGAGAGAACAGTTACTAATGGACCAACACACACACACACACAAACACACACAGACAATTTTATACCTGTGCTCTGTAATGTTTTCTATGTGATGTGGTCTTTCCTAAATGTAAAACTCTTGTATTTTTCTGTGGATTTATATATGCAGCAGGACTGACAGCTTTGAGAGTGCACGCTCAATTTTGTAAATTATTATTGACAAGATTTTTTTCCCCTCTTTACAAAGGAGACAAGATGGATTTTCCAAAAAAAAAAAATAAATAAATAAAAATTAATGTTTCTCCATTTGGCTTGTTAACTGCATGTACAGTATTTGGACTGCAAGTAAAGATAATTAAAGCCAGTTTTGAAAACTGTTTTGTTTCAGGTGTTACTGTTACTAGTTTTTAACCAGTGACGTTTCATGCACACCCTACAAAACACAAAGGTGTACTATAGTTGAGTTTCTGTGGTATGTATGTGCATTTGATTTTGATATGAGTGTACCTTGTTTACATCATTCCTCTGAATACAGGGAGGAGAACAATTTATCCAGTTCCCTCTGTAACCACTAAAAGTATATTTAGCAGCTTGTTGAAGGTCTGAAATGTCAAGAGATCTTGACTATGGATTTGCCGCAGCTGCAAGACCCAGAAATTTCCAGTGATAGCTGTGTTTCTCATAAGGCTGCATTTGGCACACGGCTCTCCCAATGGGTACATGATATTTTTAATGCTTTTAATACAGGGAGCTTATTACTTTGGATTAGATCAGTGTTTCTCAACTTGATCCACTTTTAAGAGGGATGGACTTCAATTCTCAGAATTTCCCAGCCAGAGTTGAAGTCTACACATCTTAAAGTGGATCAGATTGAGAAACCTTGGGCTAGATGAATAAGACTATTGCTGTGATTGGTGTGTGTGTGTGTGTGTGTGTGCTGTGCTGTGCGTGTGTGCATGCATGTATGCCACCTGTTCCCAGAGACTCTGGGTGCCTATCAGTGTCAACATACCCAAGACTCGAAATACATATTAAAAATTGACATAATAAAAAAAGATACAGCACCAACCACAGAAATGCATGCACCATGAACTTCACCTTCAGTGATAACATGCGGCAAGGCAGAAAAAGTAGGTTTTCACCATTTCCTTCTATTTCAAGAAAGATGAAGCTGACCAAGCTGTCTCCTGGTGGAGAGTTTCCAAAAAAGAGAAGGCATCTATTCTGAAAGCCCCATCGGTTGGCAATCTCAAAGAGATTGCAATCTCAAAGAGATTGCAATCTCAAAGAGGATCTGCAGGGGACTGGTCCTACTTGATCTGGTTGGGCAGATAAATACAAAAGGTACGGCCTCAGGTAACCAAGTCTAGAGTCATAGGAGGCTTTAAAATTGACAATCGTCTGCTCTATAATCTTTATAACTAAGTATCTCATACTGGGATTCTCTATTTTTGTACAGTTGCAGAGTGATAGGTGGCATGCAAGTTTAATAAATTATCAATTTAACCCAAGAGACACGACGGTCATAGATGACTATGCCAGTTTATTATTGAGAAACCTCATATCTCTTCCTCGTATGATGCCCTCCAGTGCAGCAAAGGGATTTACTAGCATAGAGTAGTGGAAGTGGATCACTTAGTGCTATGTCTTTGAATCCTGCAACTCCTAACTTCATCTACTTCTGCCTAGTAGATGAATCCAGCAGGCAGAAATTCAGAGACGTAGCACTGCAAACAACAGACTAGATTAATTCCATAGCAATAAGTTAAAATCGAATGGCATACGCAATAAAGTCTTTCAATAACTTTTGAGAAAAAAAGGTTATCTCCATTTGTTTTAACACAAGCATTTAATACAAGGACAAAGAAGGTAAAGAGTTTCACTGCAGCATTTTATTAATGAATTTACATATACACAAGATAAAAGTAGGTGGCCTGGCTTCAATTTGTGCTACAAAAACCTTTCAAAATTATGGACTGGGTGATCACTGCTTGTGTGAAATGACTGAGATGGGAGACTGGCCCCATCTCTGATGCTTCCCCCCCCCTCCGATAAAGTCATCATGCGGGCAAGCTGGGTGCTTGTGAGAGTTACACGAGGGAAAACAAATGCAAATGAAAACTTGCCAGGATTCTGGACCTTCAGCATCAGCTAAAGCAGTGTTTCTGAACCTCAGGAGCGTCAAGAGATGGACTTCAACTCCCAGAATCCCCCAGCAAGCACTGGGATTCTGGGAGTTGAGATTCACACATTGTAAAGTTGCCAAGATTGAGAAACGCTAGGCTAGATCTTTCAAAGGTTAAAGTGGGGAGAAAGGGGGAAAAAAAGCATTTAAATATGCCAGGACTAAACAAGCAGCACTTGCTTTTAAAAGAGGTATGTCTCCTCCCAACTCTCAACTTTCAGAAAAGAAGCCTAATTTGTGCTTGAGGGCTCATGGAGCTCCTCTCCAGGGATAACGCATTTCAAGCTCATGAAGTAGTTTCGTAAAACACCCACCAAAATCATGGAATGTATTGGTGGAATAAAAAAAAACGAAGAGTATTTGGTGCCAAAGTCCTAAAATACAAAGTGCCTTGAGGTGAAGAAGCCTCGACTAAAGACGCAGAGGTCACACCAGCCATCGTGATCGCTCCTTTTGCAATCCCAGAACAGGCTTTGAAAATGATGGTCACATCTACCGGAAGGGCCAGCTGCCATCTTTGGTCCGCCCTCCTTAAAAAAAATGCTCGCCTATGGACAGGATGAGCCAAGGTGGCAAAGACTCCGTCGGTGTTTTGAACATGAGGTGGGAAACTGGCAGAATGGATGTCCGTTCGCGAGAGGAATATCCGTCGGAGAGTCAGCAGCAAGGTAAGTAAAAACAGAACATCAGGGAATAACCGATGCTTCATACAGAACTGGGAAAATAAAACCCAAGAGAGCCGAAGCTAAAAATGAACGAGAAAATGGTCCAAATCGGGTGTGTGTGTGTGTGTGCTATTTCCACACCTGGGAACTGAGGGCTTGATTGGTTCCTGGGGCACCCCCTCTGCCCATTGACTGTCCATAGCGCATCACCCCGTTTGTGCCACAGAAGTTCATCCCTGCCATTTGCTGCGTGACCTGAAGGAGAAGGCAAGGAGGGGTCAGGTCAATTCTTCGTATACCCATCGCTCAAGCTTACCTGCTGCAGAAGAGGCTTCCACTGGCTTTCTATACTCAGGGACACCTTTCGTGTCCTCACTGCATTGGAGCTGATCAGCCACCTGGTGACAATCCTGGTGCTTAGAAGCTTGAAGAGACCTCATGTTCTTATTCTTGACAGGCATGGCGCAATTGTTAATGGGAGGAAAAAGCTTCTACATCATGTTGGAAATTACCACGTGGGTCATCCATGCCAACAAGAGGTGTAAAACAGTGCTGACGGACATGGCTGGCTGTGATTAATGGGAGCTGAAGCCGAACACATTTAGAAGGCATGAGGTGCTAGAAAGATTGAGAATCTGGTACCTATCAGCACTCAAGGGAAAAGATAACATCAAGACTTAATGTTGACAGATGTAGAAGTTTTCTTTAAAAGGGTAAACTTAAAAGAAAGCCAGACACGTGCAGAAGAAACGTTCTTCCTTCCCACAAAGAATTTAGATGGAAACAGATTTGAAAAAAATACATAATGAATCCTAATTAATCCAAATCATCCACGTGTCCATTATAGGAAGCACTGACCTCATGTACTGCTTTGACGTATTCACATAACATTTTGTGGCAGGTCACCAATTTACCAGAAAACTAGACTTCCCTCACATCCCAGTGAGCTATGAAATGTTCTTTTTGGAAATGAACTGAGATTTGATTGGAGTTTGATTTAGGGTACTTAGGAGAGAGAGTTATAACTATATATGTATGTATGTATGTATGTATGTATGTATGTATGTATGTATGTATGTATGTATGTAGGTCCTTGGTTATTCGGGTTTTCTCCCGCGTAAAATTGGAAGTGTCTTGGCGATGTTTTGATGAAGTCCCATTCGTCATCTTCAGGCTGGTGTTTTCAGCTTCGTGCTCCTCGAAGCACGAAGCTGAAAACACCAGTCTGAAGATGACGAATGGGACTTTGTCGAAACGTCGCCAAGACACTTCCAATTTTACGCGGGAGAAAACTCGAATAACCAAAGACCTACATACAAACACCCGCGAAAACCTCAGAAAACACACACACACACACACACACGTGTATGTGTGTGTGTGTATATATATATATATTAGGATGATTAAAGAATGAATGCCATTCCTAAGGTCTGTCCTTGAGTCAAACTTGTATATAAGTCACAATGGTATAATACTGGGTAAATAATATTGGTTAATGAAATAAATCAGTGTAATGAACTTGAACCATTGTATATTTAACTTGAATCACCGTGTACTTAATTCAAATTTTGCTAGAGTAGGTTCTATTCTTAACTATGGGTTATCCTTAAACTGGGCTACTCTTAACCCATAACAGCAATTCAGATTTTAGGTGCTATGGTTGCCACTAAAAAAAATAGCTGTATGGATGTGAAATTTAGAGGACATCAGAGAAGAGGTCTATGGAAATACTGGTGCCTGTAGGCATTGTGTTAAAATTAAGCCCATCTGCATATTATCCTCTACGGGAAGATTTTTGAAATGGAAGAATATCAAGTTGATTTATTTCACTCAACTTATGGGCTACATCATGAAAAACTGCTGAATCACAGAGAATATGAACATGATAGGACTTCAGAAAATATTTCATCATTTCATCAAATGAGTCTCAAAGTGGCTTATAAAAAACTTTGGAAAGCATTTTAATGGTGGTTGCTGGTCATTCAGCATCTATCATTTTCACTCTTTATTGTTGACTACCAGATCAAACTCTTTGAGAAAAAGGACAAGGAAAAAACGTGTACATTAGGACTAGCAACTTGATACCACTATTTTTTAAGTATATCGCTATCCCTATCCTTAAGTTCAGTACCCAGCCAGCTGGAGTTGGCAGGCATGAGATTATCTACCGGTAATCTTTAAGTGCACATTTTCCCCTGTCCCCAAGGTTTGAATGAGGCCTCACTCAAGACGCACACCTGTTGGCTCTTACCTGAGCAAGGTTCCATTGTAATTGGTGAGCTGGTTGTACAACATACACTGGTGGTGGGACAGGTGCCATGCCAGGCATGTACCCAGCTTGCTGTGTTGCCATCATCCCAGTGGGGACCCCAATTACTGCGGTCTGCATGCCGCCTACATAACCTGCTGGGATCGCCATAGGTGCTGTCATGCCTGCTGCCGCTCCTGGCTGCGCCATCACCCCCACTGGTGGTGCCATCATGCCACTCGGTGGTGCCATGCCTGGGAAATTGGGATAGGCGGCTGGGTAGCCCATTTGGGTTGGCGCTAGGAACACGGTTCCTAAAGAGATGTGAAGAAGGGAGAGGTGCAAATGAAGATGTCACCGTCTGCCATAAATGCTCTCTTAAGCTACCTCCTCTACAGTAGTGACCAAAATTGTGGAAACCTTTTGGGGAAAGTGTGTTTTTGAGGTTTGATGGCTAATAACACCACTTTTTGGGGGGAGTAGTACCATAAAATTATATATCAATGGAAAGATAATTTAATCAGGAACGTAATGCAACATAGTTTGTTCAGTTATCTGTGCTGTATTTTATGCAGTTATAGCCAAATAACCCAAAAAAGGAAGCACAACTTGCTTAGGTTGATCTCAGGTAGCTTTCCTGCATCCGATTGTAGCCAATGAGCACGAGTATTTAGAGAGCCAATCGGGTGTCATCTTGTTTTGCCAATGAGCCAATCAGATCACAGTAGGATTCAGTGATGTCATGTATTGAAGCTGAGAGGAGGATATTTGTCAGTGTGTTGTGTGATGGCTATCAAGTCGGTTGGGGTTTTTTTGTGTTCTTTCATTTAGTGAGCTTGTAAAATATAATAAAATTAAAGTAATGGTGCAGAGAGTTGCCTGATTGCCCAGAAAGCGATGTAAAATAGTATTACTAGATGAACAAGGATACAGTTATAAAGAAATTAGAAGAAATATTGGTGGAAACTTAACCAAAGGTGGCATTTCTATTGTACACTTTTCCCAAAAGGTTCCCATAGTTTTGGCCACAGCTGTACAATGGCCCTGAAAACAGTAACTTATGACCATTTTTTCACACTTACGGCCATTGCAGGGTCACACGATCAAAATCTGAATACTTGACAACTGTTTGAATTTATGACGGCTGCAGTGTCCCGGGATCAGGTGATCCCTTTCTGTGACCTGACAAGCAAATTCAACGGGGAAGCTGGATTCACTTAACAACGGGGTTACTAAGGGAACAACAACTGCAGTGAATCACTTCACAAGTGTGGCAAAGGAAGGTCGTAAAATGGGACAAAACCTACTTAACCGCCGTCTCACTTAGCAACGGGAATTTTGGACTCAACGGTGCTCATCCCTCAAGGACTACCTGTATTATGAATCCATTCCCGAGTCTAAAAACCCACCAGGTGTGTCTGCCATGGTAGGTGGGGTGCATACCTTGTGCAGGGATCTGTGGCGTATGGGAGCCATATAAAGAGAGGATGGAGTCCTTGGACAGCTGCTTCTTCCCCGTCTCCTCGGCCTTGCTGTCTGCCTCAGGGAACAGGTTCAGCTTTTCAGGAACAGAGCCAGCACTTCCAGCTGTGGGCATTGAGCCAGCAACCTGGTGAGAGAATACACTGTGCTTATTTCCAAAGGTGGAGGCCAGAGAACTGACACAGCAATTTTCCTAAAGGTGCCGGTTCAGATTTTCCATTTTTCAAAGTACTGCATAAACTAATTTACCACCTTAGGAGAATTCTGCAAGGGAGGCGATCTCTATCTCCTGACTCTCAAACGGGAGAGAAAGCCAAGTCGAAATGAATCAACCCAATCGGAGACAGATCAGCCCAGACTCAAGGGATCAAGAAGGAACAAGAGCTGAGAATGCTCTACAATCACAGGAAATAAAGAACGCGTTCACATCTTGCTAAATCAGAAATGAAGAAGCGTATCTTCTTCATACTGACCTATTTTACACAACGATCTGTAAACTTGGCTGCTGGGTCTAACGCGTAATGAAGATCTGCATGTTCTGCGTCGCATGAGAAAAGCACATTTTCCTTCCCCTGTCCTGACCACTTTCTACAGGGGGACGATCGAGAGCATCCTGTCATGCAGCATCACAGTCTGGTTTGGAGGCATCACTGCTTCAGGCAGGACGGCGGTGCAGAGAGTGGTGAGGACGGCCGAAAAGATCATTGTCAGTTCCCTCCCTCCCATCCAGGACACGGCACAGAAGCGTTGCTTGAGCAGGGTCCGTAAGATTATCTGGGACACCACACATCCTCTTCACGATCTGTTTTCCTTGTTACCTTCTGGGTGGGTGGGGGGCTTCGTGGTATCCATAGCAGAACATCCAGATTCAGCCAGAGTTTCATTCCATACAGCATTAACCTTGTGAACTCTCAAGCTTCCTCCTTCTGTTATATATTCAAGATGGACAGTGCTTAATATTTATTTGCTACGTACATGTAGGGATGTGGGTCTATACATATGTTGTTCATAGTATGTTTAGGTGTGCCTCATGTATGTGTTTCACTTTGAGAGCAGGCAACTAAATTTCATTTTTGATGTGTGCCGTTGTGCCCACAGTAAAAAAAATGACAATAAAGGTTATCTTATCTTATCTCGTTGACTGAAAGATTAAGCATGACTTGCATCTTATTGAACATTTCAATTAAAATTTAGAACTCTTTATTTTTTTTTAAATCATGCATTTGCTTACATCGAAGCGTGGTTTTAGATCTATTTCTTTTCCTGTGAGATAGGTTGGGATGAGAGTGAGAGTCTGGCTCAAGGTCTCCCACCATTAATATAACTTTCTCACCTTTCTCTCAGTGCCCAGGGATCCAAATAGGTCCAACTCTTTCTCCAAACTGCTGGCTCTTCCATTGGGGAGGGCAGCTGAAACAGGAACATCTGGGAGAAATGGGGGGCAGGAGAGGTAGTATCAGCTGGATTCTTGAGATCACCCAAGGGATCACCTTCCCCAAATTAGTACCCTCCAATGTGTTGGATTGGAACACCCAGAGTCAAAGGCTAAATTTGGTAAGCCCAAAGATGATACTGTGAGGTCTAAATCATTATGAGTTCTTTATTTGCTTATATCTAATAGACAAACTCTTGCCAGGCTAAAGCTATATAACCTAACCAAATAGATATACCCTGGGAGATTCTAGGCTGTGGCTACCCTGGACCTTTTCCTTACCTCACCATCCAGTTCAGGAATAGGCAGTCTCTTGTCTTGGGCCTATCTTTGGAATGTGCTGCCTCCCCCCTGAGAAGCTGGGGTGTGATTGCTAAGATCCCCCCCCCCAAATCTTTTATCCATCACAGGATGGATGTCTTGGCATTCTATATTGAATGGTCCTCAAATCTTGCAGAAATCAACATGGAGCTGCTAGGGTAGATCTGGACAGCAGAGAAAGATCTAACTTTTCAGTTTTAGGTTCTGCTTCTCTCCCCAACCCCAACCCTTTCCCCATAGCGGGCTGTATGCAGTCTATTGTTAATAGATCCCATTGATTCTCTTCAAGCTGTATAAATTGCTATGCTATACTCCTGTTTTACATTTCTTCGCTTGTGTTACTGGTACGGAGGACAAGAAGCTGTAACTGAGTAGTATGAAGTCTCATCATTCTTCCCCTGAATACTTGTTCAGACCCAACTCCTGTTTTTGAGATTTCATCCACCCTACAAGTGTGACTTGGCAGCCATCACCATCACACCTGGCAGGCTGTTTTGGGTTTGATGGAAAAGACAAGATTCCCGTACAGCTAGACCATTGCCACCATCCCATGTGCATGGATGTGTCTTGATGCAGGAGTGGAATTTGCTCATTTTCAGTTTTATAGGCAGAATTCAGCTCTTAAGCTATAATGTACAGATTATCCCTTACCTCTGCCCTTTTCACACCAGCTGAGCTGTTACTGGCCTTTAACGGCAATCATTCTGGTGGCCTATTTCCCCTTTTCAGCTTCAATTGTTTACCATATTTCCTTTGCACAGGAAATAGTGATCGGCCCAGCCCTCAAAACGCAACTGTTGACGGGCTGTCTCTGATGAAAGAGGAAATGAAAAGCTTTCCAGCCCACGTGCATCTTCTGCCACTGTTGTGTTATGCAACTTTAGGCTAGGAAGGTCAGGACTGCTATTTGTGATGTTTTTGTTCCGAAAATGTTAAAGTACTGCCTTTTCAGTGGGGCTGAAATCCCCGTCTTGTGGAAATCCATCTGCCCTCTCATTTTAAGCTGCAGCCTTAGACTAAGCTGATCCACTAATTGAAGAAACCACTGAGCCAAATCATGGAAGTCTAACTTACTGCAAAGCATTCTGGGACGTTAGCAGGAGTACAGGTAGTCCTCACTTAACAACCAGTGGCTTGGTGACCACTTGAAGTTACAGTGGACCACCCAAAAGATACTTACGACCCAATTTCAAAGTTACAGTGGCTGCACACCCTCTTGGTCATTTCACTGCATTTTGGGCATTTTGCAACCGGCTCAACTTTATGACCATTTGCAGCGTCCATATAACTGTGATTTTTTTTCTTTTTCTTTTTTTTTTTTACTTTTTTGCCAAGTTCTGGTGTTTACTTCTGGTTCTGGCAAAAATCTCTCATTGGATAAAACAGAGTCAATTAACAAACCCCATGTTCACTTCATAACCGCTGCAAAAATGGTCATAAAACTTGGCACAGTCATGGTGTGTGGCCTTCTCAAAGACCACAACAACGTACAACCGTTAATTCCAGGTTTAATGATGGTTGTTAGTTGACGGCTAGTTGTAATTCTGGGCCTCCTTTTCCTCCAATGTAAAATTAGGATCAACATTTCCCTGCATCTATGGTAACTGAACAGATCTTGCTACACAATACACAATTATTTGTTCTTAGTGACCTCCGTGAGAAACCTCCGTGTTCTAGAAACACAAATAACTGATTTAGCAGGAAACCGTGAAATCACAGCCAGTTATTTTGGTCCTTTGACTCTTCACAGGTGATTTGATTAGCTCTCCTCCCCCAAATGGAAAAAGGACGGCTTACGATTTATTCAGCAACCACACAATAAATATTTTGCAAAGAAAGGAGGGCATCAGCAGTGCTCTTACCGAGTCCCAGCAGGTCTATGACTGGCTCTGAGGATCTGGAAAGGGGTTTTGTCGTTTGAGCCTCCTCTTTCTTCTGAGGCTGAAGGAAGCAGAAACCACCAAAATGCTTTGATGCATATTTCATGAAAACAGCACGTTTCTCATTTTTGTGTCTTCAAAAATTGTTTCCAGAAATGCTGGTGGATTTTGAAACTTATTCCAAGGCCCGTCCCAATGATTCAGCCAGCCAACTAAGACAGTTGGGCTTAGTCTTCTCAACCTTGGCAACCTGAAGATGGATGGACTTCAATTTCCAGGATTATCCTGCCAGCATATGTGGAACCAGGGAATTCTGGGACTTGAAGTCCACCCATCTTCAAGCTGCCAAGGCTGAGAAACACTGCCTTAGATTATACTGTGGATGTTAGCAACTCATGCAGGGACAACTGCTAGCATTGTTAGCAATCCCTTACTGAATACCTCTAGCCCCCTTCCTCCCCACAAGACACCAGAAGGAAACCAGAAATAACCATAGTCCCCTTACCAGTTTGACTTTCTCAAAGACAACTGGCTCCATTTTCTTTCCAGTAGCTGCGTCCTTCTTCCATTTTTCATCCTTTTCTCTCTATGAGCAAAAAACACGCAGAACGGTGAGAAGGCCAACCAATTCGTTCAGTGGAATAATTTTCCCTCTAGGTCAGTGTTTCTCAACCTTGACCATTTTAAGGCATGTGGACTTCAACTCCCAGAATTCCACAGCCAGCATTGCTGGCTGTGGAATTCTGGGAGTGGAAGTCCACATGCCTTAAAATGGTCAAGGTTGAGAAACACCGCTCTAGGTCAAAGGGAAACTTTCCCTGCTCAACTTCTAGGGATTGTCAGGGCAAAACACTTCCTTTCTCCCAACCTAACAGTGCTGTTTGCACTGTTTGCCTTTTCATTTGGACCGACCCATTTTGGGGGGTTCGCATAATACTTTCAACCATCGTTTCTCAAACTTGGTAATTTTAAAATGCATGGGCTCCCAGAATTCTGGGAATTGAAGTGCACAGATTTTTAAATTGCTATGGTTAAGAAACACCGCCCTAAACCCTAAATTAATCAAAAGGACTGGTTTTTTTCAGAATATGTTAAACTCCTCCTCCCACCAGGGATCAAAGTTAAAACCAGACAAATCTCATGAAAATGCATTGCCAGGCCTTTCATTAACCTGGTAGATCTCTCTCTCTCTCTCTCTCTCCCTCTCTCTCTCTCTCTCTCCATCCATCCATTCATCCATCCATCCACAGAGCTCTTTTCTGATTGCTTCAGTCTAATTTGTTTCTTCTCTGTACAGTAAGCAATTCAGACTTCTCTTTTCCATAGCAAACTTCTTAGAAGAAAGTGATGATATCATAAAAGATATTTTTACCTATTATGGGCTCTGCCCCATTCACTATTTCCTATACCCCCTCCCACATGACCTTGAAATAATGGGATCCTTCAGGGAATAAAATTCTTCACCTCATCTCAAGACAGCTCCTGCAGGTCAAAATGCTGGATGGAAGCAAAAGAGCAAGCTTTTATGCATTTAGAACCAACCAACCCGTAACATGTTGACGTCGAGGCTTCTGTCCATGTACTTCTTCTTTTCATATTTGTCTCTGATAAAGCTCTCCACTGCTCTGGAAGGAAGCTGGATAAGGATGAATAAGCCAAGAGCAGATAGTTTTGCTATCAAATTAAATACTACAATAACTTTGGAGACAACCATCAGGAGGCTGAAGTTAAGCTAATCAGAACTGGGGGGGTGGGAGGGGGAGACATGTAGTTGTTTTCACTGTGATAAGTGTAAAATCTGGACTGCCATTAGATTGCAGCACAAGTTATAGCAGACTCTAAGCATCTGCTGCCATCCACCGGTCTTTGTGGATTTTGCAGCCAAGATAACGGCACATTTGCAGTTGTGCTCCAATCCAGAGAATATGGTAGTTTTGCTTCTAATATGCAAAGCATGACAACAAATTATAGGATAGGATAGATTAGGACTGTCGATAGATATCAATCTGTGGCTGTGGGCAGATAACTTGCTCCTGTCAGCATAGATGTTGCTGGTTTTATGAATTACCTGCCTCCATACAGAGCAGCGGCCAAACTTCACAATATTAAAATGTATGGACTTCAGCTCCCAGAAGTCCCCAGCCAGTCATCTTGGCTGGAGAATTCTGGGAGTTGAAGCCCACACATCATAAAGTCACCAAGTTTGAAAACACGGACCTAGAGCCATCCTTTTGTTCCACACAAAACTCTTTTAAGTTATTTCTAGCAAATCCCAGCGGTGCTGACTTAACGGAGGGGAAAAAACCCATCGTAGATAAAGGCAACAGCAATTCCCATTCATACTGTTGCCAAAAAGCAATATGCAATCTCCAGGAGTGCATAGACTAGAACAGTGTTTCTCAACCTTGACAATTTTAAGGCATGTGGATTTCAACTCCCAGAATTCCACAGCCAGCAATGCTGGCTGTGGAATTCTGGGAGTTGAAGTCCACATGCCTTAGAATTGTCAAGGTTGAGAAACACTGGACTAGAAGGAGAACACTGCACACTGCACCCCCTAGTCAGGGTTGACCTATGAGGTTTGGTTTTCCAGAAGATGCTCATTAACAGGAAAACCTCACCAAAATTCTGAAAAAGGCTACGGACGCTAAAAGGGTTCATGCAGAAATTGACGTAGAGATATCCCCTTCCCACACTCCCACCAGTGACGCTAAGCCTTTCAAAGGCTTCCATCTTCTTGTGGGGAAAACAGGCAGAGAAGGATGCTGGTCTGTCTGGGGCCGTCGGAAGTTCTCAGGCAGGTAGCCCTCGTAAAGGCGGTTCGCTTTCCCATTTCCCATTTCTTGCATGCACTGGAATGTAAAATTGTATAATTAGGCTTTGCTTGCATTCGTTTCATTTGTTTGAATTAACTTCAGGAAGTAAGCTTTTTTTGGGGGTTGGGGTTTTTTTTTTGAAAAACTGACAACCAAAGCATCAGTGTCTGCCAGAATATTTCTAGAATCGTGTTTGGACATCAACCTACACAGTATCGAGGGTTATGATGACTTGGTAGTTAAACGCATTATCAGCTTCTATCAGCTCAGCAGAAAAACTGCATTTGGATCTACTGGAAGGAGCAGTTATGTTCCCTCACCAATCATGGTGCTTTTATTGGATAAAGTGACAGGTCTAATATAGCCCTCTCCTTCTGAAGCGATAGTTGCTTATTCTGAATCAACTGCTCTGAACCTTAAGAGGAATGGTGAAGCAAGGGGTCCTTATGGGCCCCGTCAATGTGTTTCCTTACTAAATGTGTATGCAGATTACTCCAAATTGGTTTTGTGCGGAATAAGGAAACTTTGAAGGTAGAAAACTAGCATTTAACGTTAGTTGACAACTAGATTCTCCACAACTCATATAGTTATTAGAAATGAGGAAAAATGAGATCAGAAATAGAGATGCCAACTACCACAGGATATGTTAGATTGGGTATGGAGGAGACAATAAAAAACTTGTCAAAGAACTTACATTAAGGCCTGGGGTTACTACTGGGATATAAGACTACAATTTTATTTTATTTTATTATTTTTAATATTTTAATGTCCTAATGCAGTGTTTCCCAACCTTGACAATTTTAAGGCATGTGGACTTCAACTCCCAGAATTCCACAGCCAGCAACGCTGGCTGTGGAATTCTGGGAGTTGAAGTCCTCATGCCTTAAAATTGTCAAGGTTGGGAAACACTGTCTAATGATTAAGGCATAGAAAATGGGAGATCATGCGATCTAGTCCCATCTTAGGTATAAAGCTAGCTGGATGACCGTGGGCTCAGGAACAGCCTTTCTCCACTTTGACAACTGTAAGATACGTGGCTTGGGAATTCTGGGAGTTGAAGTCCTCATGCCTTAAAATTGTCAAGGTTGGGAAACACTGTCTAATGATTAAGGCATAGAAAATGGGAGATCATGCGATCTAGTCCCATCTTAGGTATAAAGCTAGCTGGATGACCGTGGGCTCAGGAACAGCCTTTCTCCATTTTGACAACTGTAAGATATGTGGCTTGGGAATTCTGGGAGTTGAAGTCCACACATTTTAAAGCTGTCAAGGTTGAGAAACACTGATTAGGAAAGAGACAAGGACAACATCGCTTCTGGAAAACCTTACAAGAAAGCTGCAAGATACTGCCTAAGCAATCTCCGAAAACCGGACACAATTTTTGAAGAATACTAAATGTGTATACCGATTACTCCAGATTGATTTTGTGGGGAATGAGGACACTCTGAAGGGAGAAAACTAGCATATAACATTCGTTGACAACTAGATTCTCTACAACTCGTATTGTCTAACGGGCATTTGAGGACAGAAAAGCATTCCACTAATTTTAAAACTGCACACACACACACACATCCCTATAACCTTTCACTTACGCTGCTGGCAAAAAATCTATACTGACCTGTATTTGTTCTTGTGTCCATTGGTCCAGATTGACGGATTTTACCCGGGAAATATGAACTCCCAAGTTCCGGTGTATTCCAGCACAGCGGATGCAAATGAAGACACCGATGTTCCACGAGGCCCATCTTGGCCCTGCAAAAGTGTAAGGGAAAATGGTCATGAGAATGGTTGTGAGCTGCTGTGCAAGATCTCTCTTCCAAGAAACTGCTATAGGTAGTCCTTGACTTACAACCGGCCACTCAGCGACCATTAGGAGTTATCATGGACATTTGCAAGGGCATTAACGGCTAGGATTTGAAGTCCCATCAGCCACTTCCCCTGGTCATATGATCCCATTTTGGGTGTTTAGCAACTGGCCTGAATTTCCAGCTGTTTGCAGCATCTCATGGTGGTGTGATTGTAATTTATGATGTTTTCATCTGAAAACTGTCATTTACTTTTGGTTTCGGGAAAAAAAATGCTCATTTACTTAACACCCACAGTGATTCATTTAATGGCTTCTGCAATAATATGGTCACCCACTTAATGCATGACATACAACCATAATTCCAGGTTTAATTACCATCTTAAATTGAGGATGACCTGTACTGTATAAATAGAGAAAAAGTCTGGAGCTTCCAGCTACGGTACAAAGTGGTTTTTAAGTATTCATATCAAGAAACAAAGTCATAATCTTATCAGATGAAGAAATAATTAAAAAAAAACTAGAATGTGCAGAGATGGACAGACTTACTTTGAAGTTGAAAGAAAAAGAAGAAACAGAATATTATCAAACTTGGGACTTATTTTATCGATGGCTAGAGAAAAGAATAAAGGATTAGGGATTAAATCTGTATTAGTGACTGTAAAACTCAGACAACACGTTTGTTGAACAAGTACTATTGAATGAAAGAAAAAAATCAATAAAAAGTTTATAAAAAAAATTCAAGCAAAGCAAAAACATTAAGGGGGGGGGGAAATCATGTCTTTTTAGAGGGTACAGAAACAAATGTTACATATATTCAGTAACATGTCATATGTCGGTAACTTTGCAAGTTGTTCAAAATAACCACGATTTGTGGATGATGAATCCTGCTAAGTTTATAAATCGTTTGCCAGTGATTTGCATTCTCTGAAAAAAACTCTTTCTGAATCGTTAAGCTATCAGCATTAGTAAAGAAAGCAAGTTGCTTAAATAAAACAAAATAACCCCCCCCCCCAAAAAAAAAACCAAAGAAAGGATGGAGAAACAATCTACCTATGATACTGTTGTAAAGCAGGGGTGGATCAAGAACAAGAAAGAGGGGGAAAAAACTACACCTGCTTATTGTCTTTTTCAATATTGAGTCCAAAATCTGCTCGTGAATAGATCATCGTTACGTGTGCCAACGTTAATTAATCTGTTATTTAAAGCTTCAGTTTATTTGAACAAGGAGAGGCATCATTCAACAGAGGCAAAATTAGAAGTCTTATTTAAATGTCTGACTGTTTTACAAATGTCAAAAAGTGGGCACAGGATGACACCCAGAAGACTATTATCCTTTTCATACTTAAGTGGAGTTTTTCCAGTTGGGTGAGAGGCTGAACAGAGTGTGCCAATGCAGACTGCAGGCAGATGAATGCTCTTTGCTTGCCCTCTCACCACACTCCTGCAAATCTGGCATTTCAAGGCACAGAGGAAGGAAAACCACTGTCAGAATCCAATTATATTTCATCTCTGGTTATCGACTATGGAAAACCCCATTTCTGCCTTCTCTGGATTCTGTCATACTACGAAGGGGAAGGGGGATGAGCAAAGGGGTTTTATGGCTCTCACTTCCTTCCTCACAACTTCAAAGGGACTGGATGTGGATATCACCAAAAGGACTAACCATAACAATATCTACTCCTTTCATCTACTCCTCTCTGAAGTCTCCCTTCCGCCCGGGCCGTGAGGAAAAAGGGGGTGGAAATGTAATGCCTGGGATTGTCGCTGGAAGGATGGTGGGGTGGGGTGGGGCTGCTTGGGACCCTTTAAAACCTTGAATGGGAGGGCATGGGCCCCAGGTCCTGTCTAGAACACCTGCAACCATTTTCTCTTAATAAAGGTGCCTGTTGGAAGAAATATTCCAAGAGTTCTGTTTTCTTAAGATGCAAAGTGGGGTGGGTCCTTACAACCACCTTTGTTACTGGTGTTCTTCCTTGCACACCAGTAAAGAACAGCAGTGCGGATGGAAAGAAATAACTACATGAAGCCACAAGGTGCCATTGCTTTTGTTTCGAATGGCCTTAACACAGAACATTCCATTGTTTGCCTTGAATATGGGCAGCAGCCACAAGATACAATGCAGCTCTTGCTGAGGCTTTTTGGGGCTGCCAAGTTCTTGAAGGCGTGCAATCAGTTCTTCAAGTCCACAGGAGAACCGTCGTACTTGCAGGAGTGGGTGATTAAGAAGCAGAGAATCCAGAATACTCCGTGCCAAACTCGGGTGTAAATGTCACTGAAATGGTTTGCTGTGCTTCAGTTTGGAAAAACGTCGCTTAAAATTCTGAGAGTTGGAGCTCTCATACCCGCAGAAAGCTCCAAGGAGAGGAATCTAGTTAAGAATATGACGCGTTCAAACAAGCGAGATTCAAATAACAACAACAACAACAACAATAATAATATTGGAAGGGACCTTGGAGGTCATCTCGTTCAACCCCCTGCTCAGGCAGGAAACCCTATACCATTTCAGACAGATGGCTGTCCAGTCTCTTCTTAAAAACTTCCAGTATTGGAGCATTCACCGCTTCTGGAGGCAGGTTGTTCCACTGGTTAATTGTTCTGTCGGGAAAGTCCTCCTTAGTTCTAGGTTGCTTCTCTCTTTGATTAATTTCCATCCAAAGAGAGAAGCAACCTAGAACTAAGAAGAGGTTTCCTAACATTATACAGTGTTTCTCAACCTTGACAATTTTAAGGCATGTGGACTTCAACTCCCAGAATTCCACAGCCAGCAATGCTGACTGTGGAATTCTGGGAGTTGAAGTCCACATGCCTTAAAATTGTCAAGGTTGAGAAACACTGTATTAGAGGACTCTGGAAGGCTGAATTATTCATAGCAAGGGGAGAAAAAAGCCAAAGCTAGTAAGTAATCCAACTGGGCATTTCACACTTTTTCTGGCAGTGCCCCAAATCAGATGTCTGTTCTGAAAGATCTAGGCCAGTGTTTCTCAACCTTGACAATTTTAAGGCATGTGGACCTCATGCCTTCAAATTGTCAAGGTTGAGAAACATTGAATTAGAACAATTAATCAGTGGAACAACCTGCCTCCAGAAGCTGTGAATGCTCAGAAATCAGAGACAGAAGATCTGATAACAGCTACTTCAAGGCACTCTTCCCATGGGCTAGAAACAAGTCTGAAGGGCAAATGAGTCGGTTTGGAGAAGGCTGCAGTGCCCAATGGCAGCTTAAGGTGAATTACCGGAATTGGTCAATTGTGGAATTTCCAAGCCTGACTTGGCTGTATGAACAAGACTGGCAGGACCGGAGTAAGAATTATATCATCTGCCAAGCACCATGAATGCAAATGTCAGAGGAGAAGACCTGCATAGGAGAGGTTCAGTCAGTGCCAGAGTCACTTCTCTGTTTTTGTAATCTTATCTCACACACCACCATTGCGGCTTCTGCCTCTTTCAAAGAGCTGCTCTTCAAGGATCATCCGACAGTGTCAATCCAACCGCAGAGCGGCAGAGAGGAAGTGCCAAAAAAAGGAAAACTGGGATCCCACTCCCAAGAACTCTCACATCAGACCTGGCAGGTCAAAGGAACAAAGAAGAGAAGAGAAACTCAAAATTTAACACGCTGAAGTTGTACTTCCAGCTTCAAGAGCCAGCCAGGAATCAGAAGGAGGATGGTACATTTCAGATTTTACGATTTAAAGATTAGCCACAGGGATTAAACTCTGATGCGGGCACACCTGCCGACACTTTTAAATTATGATATTTGCTCCTTCCCAAACTTAAATATCTGCCCTTTCCCCCCCCCCCCAATATTTTAGCAGACTGGATTTATGACATTTCAATGAGGAATTTCAGGCTGGATGCCAACATTTCTCCTCTCCCCCCCCCCCATATGCACAGATCTTGTAGCATGGTTAAATCAGCTTTGCATGCCTGCAACATGCCTTTATGCGCGTATTCTCTCCTGCTTTAAAGTGCCTCTACCCAGCTCAAGTCCCAGCACTTTGCAAAGCAAGATCAAAACTCTTGAGGAGCAATGTGGATGCTAATGCTGGAGGGGGGGGGCTGCACCTGTCACGAAGTCCCACCGTTGATAGCACATCTCAAGACAGTCTTAATATGGTCCTCCCAGCCCATCTTCCATTTGTCTTTTTTTTTTGGATGGGGGTAGGGGGGGAGACAATCCAGGATAGTTCCAAATAAATTTCTGCATTGCAGATACTCATTGCTTTTATTTTCTCCAAATGCCTGTGAGGTTTAGAGGTGACCCAGGGATATTGCTGCAGAGAAATCAGGTTCTAGAGCAGCGTGTCTCATAATTGACTGGGCTTAGCTTAAAGGAGGTATGGACCTCGACTCCCAACTCTGTTGGCTGAGGAATTCTGGGAATAGGAGTCCTTGCTTCTTCAAGCCGCCATGGTTGAAAAACACTGTTCGAGAAATTCATGCTTTGTCATGTAGCGGCCCTTCTGTCATGCGCTTTGCAGAATTTTGTTTTATTTTGCTGGTGAGGGCCTGGACTTCCATCTTGTTTGTTCATTTTGTACTGTGTTATTATGTAAGTGTTTTATCACTTTCAGGATTCATTATATGCTAAATTGTGAGCCGTACAGAATTGTCTGGGCGTTGGGCACCACCTATAAAATACACTGGGTGATAAGAAACGAGAAATGTTCTGCTTACTTGAAGGATCACTCACAAGAAAGATATATTTCGGTTTGGAGAAGATGGATAGATTATATTCAGAATAAATAGGGGATTAAAAAGTTTCATTTAGCCTATGAGTAAACTTTAGAGTATTATTAATAGGTTTTTTTTTAATTAGTTTTAGTATGGTTTAACAATATTGATTTGTTTATATTATTATGTTTATTTTTAATTTGTTTATATTTATGTTATAAGGGAGTTAAAGTGCGTTATGGACTTGGTTACTTGTATAGTTGGGTAATGTTTT